GGCAGAGTGCTAAATAAGCCGTGACTTCATTTAGCTCCCAAATACCATGCCATGATTGGCATGCGACTGAACTTTAATTGTTTCATCTGAAGATTGTTTATGTCCTTTCCCCACGGCTGTCTCTACCATGATGCACACAGAATTGGATGCAGCTATTACCAGCTCCCCCCTAATTTTCCTCTTAATCTCTGCAAGTGAACACTGGGTGTAGCCTAGCCTCTCATTTTGCTTTTAATTAGACGTGTTGCTTGAAACTTTTTTTTTTTTTTGACAAATTCAATCTCTCTGTCTGTCTCTCACCTGTAGAGGTGACCCAGAATTATTTGTTTGTCCAGGTGTCTGTACCGGTGTGTGTAAACCCCCCATCCCCTGAGTGAACAGTTGCTTGTTCCATCTCATAGCTGAACAAACTGCAATACTTGGTTGCTGCGGCAGAGTGAGGAAAGGTGCAAATTGCAAAGTAATTCACTGGATATGAAGGATTCACTTCCAATTTATTGAGCTGGTTCATTATCTCATTGTCTGAAGTAATGCATCAGAATGCACAGAAGGGAGCACTAAAATATATAGGCCTAGTGAACTCTGGAATTTGCTGGTGATGACTGAGAACTGCCTATAAGGTCTGAACTTTCTTCCTACACATGCGGCTTATCCCCACCTTGCAGAGCAAACCAGAATTATCTTTGTATATGAATTAATTTTAATTTCTCATTTTAATCAGCTGTGGTGTGCTATATTGTTCAACCCCCCTCCCCCATGTGGTTAACCTGGTTTCTTGAAACAAGCCAACTTCAAACCATGATCCTGGGCTCTAAAGCTGGCCCTTTCAAATTGAGTTGAGATTAACCAAAGTGAAGTGTGCAGATGACCAACGCACATTGGTCATCTGTAAAAGTGAAAGCTTCAGTTCTCACAGCCTTGCTGGAGGAGTGGCGCATGCATGAACTTCCTGGAGTTCATCCTCATAGAACTAAACCATGGTGCTTTTGGGGTGCTTAACAGTTCACTGTCCTTCAAAAGTGTTGTGAGATACAAGCCGCTTTACATCAAGGCATTAAGACTGTTAATGGAAGCTTGCCCTTGTGATCGCATGATTATGTCTTCCCTTTAGAGATGGCTGAGGAATCCGGTTTGAGGGCGGAAAGCCATCAGATTTCTTCCACTGGGCTCAGCTTGTGATCTAGCCTGCTTTCTCTCCTCCCTAAGTCTGTCCCACACTGAGAGTTCGCATGGGATCCTGCAGGAAGTGAATTCAAGTGATTCCACACGTGTGGCTTGCAGGCTTTGTGTACTTTGCACAAAGAATTATGCAATTTGCATATTTTGCACAAAGAATTATGAACTTTGCATACCTTGTGCAAACTATTATGGACGTTGCATAAATAATCCGCTAGCAGTCCTCCACACTCCTTGGCTTGAACTCCATTCGGTTCACTTCCTGTCCAGGGCCAAGCATGTTTAAGAAGTTCTTACGTGCAGGAGAGCCGGATTCCACCTGACCTTCACATCCCTGCTTAGCCATTCTTTTCTGTCTTCTGTTTCAGGGCACAATTCAACAGTTTTGTCCCTAAATACTATGGAACCCTCTAACCTAGTGCCACAAACTTCTCTTAGTTCTCTAGTCATTCATTCCTCAGTGTTCCTGATTTCTCTCTCTCTCTCTCTCTCTCTCTCTCTCTCTCTCTCTCTCTCTCTCTCTCTCACACACACACACACACACACACACACACACACAAATTAAGTTATTATTCCTCAGCTAGAAGGTTGGCCTGCTGCAGAGCCACGAGCTGTCATGGAATCATACAATAGTCAAGTTGGAAGGGGCCATGAAGGCCATCTAGTCCAACCCCTGCTGTTGCAGGACACCACGTCACCCCATCCCACTCCGGTGGCTGCCCGGTTTCTTTGTAATGTCCTCCACCACCACCATCTGCATTTGGATTCTAAATCATGGTTTTGTGTTTTGCAGACCCCCAACCCCACCTTGGACTTAGCCAGGTCTCTTTCCAGTCATTCTCACCAGTTTGCCTTCTGGGAAAAGAAAATCTTTTTTCAGTGATCTCTACTACTGCTTTAACTTTAAAAAATGAAGTTCAGGCATCAGGCCATTTTCTGCCCAGTGACCCAGAAAGGTTGGGAGTCCCTACAACTCACAGGAACCTGTCCAGCAAGTAAGATAACCATCTAAGGTCCTTCTCTGGATTTCTTCTCCTTTAGAAGTATGATAGATACCTGCTGGAGAAAGGTTTTTCCTTCACTCCTGGTGGTAACCTTGGAACTGAATAGAATTCTGTTGCTAAGGAAGCTTACTTTGCTTCTGCTACATATTCCACTTGATTATTGCCTTTAAATGTAGACACGGTTTCATTTTAGTATGACTTCTAGCTGCTTGTATAGGCTGCCTTGATTTTTTTTATTTTTAATGTGGAAAGACTGGATAGATTTTAAATAAAAAAAGGGGCGTGGGGGGTCAGTGACCCACCCTCCCAAAGATCTTAGCAACAAGGGAGTATTTCTAAACTGAGAAAGGTAGGAACAGGCCTTTTGATCAGTAAATTTTATTGAGAAATTGCATTATTTTCATTGCAATAGGAAGCCTTCAGATTTTTTGAAAAAAAAAAAAGAGGGAAAGGAAGGGGACAAAAATGAGGGGAGAGGCAGGGAAATAAAGTCAAGTGTTTTTGGCTGCCTCTTTGGCTCTTACAAGATTTAACAAGGGAAAAGAACAAAGTCTGAGTATGTTTTCATCCCCTTTTGTACCGGAAAATAATTTCTTGAAATGTCAAAAACTACAAGTCTCTCTTGTGGAAGTGTTTAAGCAGGCTTCCTGAACTTTGCTGGAGACCTCTGGTTGAAGGATCCAGACTTCTGAAGCTGCGGCTCTGGCTCTGCTTTGATACAAATGCGGCCTGGAGAAGAAGGAAATAATGAAACAAAACAAACATTGGCTAGACGTCCCTGTGGACCTTGGCACAACGAAGGGCCAGCCACGCCGGAGGCAATGCACCCTCCAACGCCTTTAAAGGAGCAGCCATTTTTCTCCCCAAGCAATTGCTGGCGTTGGCCATCAATTGCTCTTTTGGAGATCCAGGGATAAATTCCTTTTGTGCCGTAATCATCTTTCTGCCAGCAATACTGGGATGCAAAGCTGCACAGCAGCCCTAGGAGGACAGAGTTGAAAGGCAGCATGTTCTTGCTTCTGCCATCACTGGGGGACCAAAAACCAGTGGGGGGTGTTTCTTCTGTCTTCTGGAAAGATCATAACTGCAGCCTGACCGCATTGGCCTCGTTTCATCTGTTAGAGACAGAGCAGCCTCGCTCAGAGAAACGTATGACCTTAACTTTGCAAAATATGGCACAATTGCAGGATTCCCCACCCCACTGGTTCATTGCTCATCCTTGGCAATGTTGCAGAAACAGCAGTGTGATCGGAGATCAGAGTTAATGAGGAACTTGGCATTTGTAAAACCCTGCAAGAGATGGTTGGCATTCGGACATTAGGTAAAGAAAGGATGGGTTAAATTTGTCTAATTAGAACATGCCCAATCCCACCAGTCCATACTGAAAAGATATGTTTGTTATAGAAAAGAAATCCCGAACCCAGATATGTTGATCCAGAAGTAGGTGAGCATTTTTCGGGCTGTAATATCTTGCTGGACGATAACATTTTCTTATGAAATGAAACTCCTGCAGCAGGTGGTGCTCTCAAGATAGAAACAGCAGAAACATTCATTATGGAGAAGGGAGGGGGTCGTCTCTTGCACATTACACTCTGTTCAGGTGGCTTTGTCCACTTCTGAGGAGGAGGTGGAAGGACGGAGGTGGACAGAGGATCTGGCAGTTTCAAGGTGACCTAGAGAAGATTTTCAGACAGAGCATGAGCACCAGCTTTTCTTGGACAAGTGGGGAGGCATTTCACACCTGGGGGAGTAGGTGATGGAGAAGGAGTTCCTTGACCCCATCAAGAGGCAACAGGTGAAATGAGCAGGTCCTTTGAATGTCCAGACTTCCCACCATCTGTCCCTCCAGCAAGAGGCTGAGGGTGACATTAGAAGAGTTTCAGAAAGAAAGGGACTGAGGGAAAGCTGGGAGAAGGCAGATCCTTCGCACATATCTCAAGAAGGATGCTGCTTCGATTCATGCTGCTTTGTAACCTATGGAGGTTTTACACAGGACCGTGCTCCTCCAGTCTATCTGAGTTGGCTGGAGCGGGAAAGAGGGAGGGAAAGAACGGATCACAACATGCCATCTCATGGTTTCCTAAGCTACCTTCTTTCCAGTGGTGTTGGTGCCTTCTACGAAACAGCAAACAGTGATGGAAGAATGACATACCATCGGGTCATTTGTTGTCTGTGCAAGGGGCAGGCAGATCCACCAACCAGAATCAAAGTCTACCCTTAGAATGAAAGAACAGTTGTGTCTGTGTGCATCTTAAGATCAAGGAATTTATTTTCAGAATCAGAGCTGAAATAAGTACATGGTTCTTTTACATAAGCATCTATTCCTGGTTACCTGAGATTTCTTCCTTCAATGAACAAATATAGGTGGGGAAAAATTTTGCTGCTGTTCTTGTTCAGCAGTTAGGAGTCAAAATCCTACCCATCAACTCCAAACTGCTCTGAGAATTATGAGTAGATCCAGTCCTAGATCCAGTCCACTCCCAGTCTACACCAGCTGACAGTGGTTTTCCAGGAGTCAGCCAGGACTCTTTCTAACCCAACACAGAGATGCTGAAGACTGAATTTGGGTCCTTTGCCATACAAAACAGATGCTTTCCACTACATTGTTGCCCTTCCCTGTGAAAACTTTCTTGAATAACCAAAGGCTACATTTGGTGGGATCTTCACTTTCATTGCTGTGTACTTTCTTCTTGGTCCTTTCAGCAACTGTTTGCTTCCATGGTCTGCTGGGGAACTGTCTGCTTTTTGGAAACCATCATCTGATGGATCTCTTGCATGAATAACTTACCCTCGTCCAATCTTATGCTTTTTCTGCTGCAGGGAGCAGTTTTGTTGTGAGTGAGGGAAGCTTTTTGGACATCTCAGACTGGCTGAACCCAGCAAAACTCTCCCTCTATTACCAAATCAACGCCACGTCTCCCTGGGTGAGGGATCTCTGTGGACAGAGGACTATTGATGCGTGTGAACAGCTGTGTGATCAGGAGACTGGTAAGTGCACACTGGGAATTGTGCTTTGATGATGGAGGTGGTATAAACATGGAAAGGGACACAATGACTGGGAAGCATTGCAGTGAGAAGGTGATGGATTGTTTTTGCCTCTTCCTGTTTGATGGAAGTCGAGGGAAAACTTCCTGGTCTGTGGCACACTTGCTGTCACAAGCACCCCTTTCTTTCGTTGACATTGGCTTTGCACAACTACAAACCCAACCTGCGGCAACCCAGATTCAGGCTGGACATCAGGAAAAGTTTCATGGTCAGAGCAATGGGACAGTGGGACCGGCTGCCTGGAGAGGTGGGGGGCTCTCCCACACTGGTGACATTCAAGAAGAAACTGGACGGCCGTATGAGTGGGATGGTGTGACTTGGTGTTTTGCAACAGCAGGGGGTTGGACTGGATGGCCTTCATCACCCCTTCTGACTCTTCTATTGCAATCTGGAAACACTGATCCGGGAATTTGAATTGGGTATTGCTGACATATACACCTTCTCGCAATGCTGCATTTTCCAGGCAAGGCTGGTTGAGAATCAGGCCATGCAATGAAGAGCTGAGCTCTCGCCGCTCTCTCTTGTTTGCTCTGAGCAACGAGCCGCCATTTGCCTGTTGTGGGTTCCTCCTGGATAGGCTCGCAACAAAGCCCTCGCTCTAGCCTTTGTGGATGCGCTCTTGTGCTTGGTGTGACTGAGAGGGGGCAGGGTGTGCACCCAGCAGCCCTCTCCTGTGTGATATGCAGCCCAACCGAAAGCCGCTGCACAGGACCCGGGAGAGGGGAACCGCTTCTGCAGGGCTTGTGCATGGCTCAGTCCTAAGCGAACCCTGCATGGATGCTGGGTGCCCCCCGGACCGCCCCCAGGAGCTCAGACAACGTGGACCAGGGCCCAGGGAATCCGGCAGTTCCTCACCTCCACACCCCTGCTCTGTAACGTACGGTTCAGAGCTCGCAGTTGCAGGGTGGAAGGTGCTTTGCGGTGGGTCCAACCCCCAACAATGCTGTGCCAGAGAAGGCCTGTTGTGTGCATTTCTTGGTACTCACTGCTGACAGCTTCAGCATAATCCTGTCTGGACAATGACTAAAGGCCTGCACAATGGCACAACAACAAAGCAAATGAAAAGCCCTATTTTAAACTACCTGGGAGCATGAACAGAGAAATGCACATTAAAGCAGCTCCTAAGCCATTGACATAGTTTCAAAGGATGCCAAAAATGGAGAAGAAAATGGTTTTAGTTTTGTTAAAGCTTCCCAGGTAATGAACCTGTATAACAATAAGCAAAACTCAGGTTAAGATCATGGGAGGCTTCAACTGCCTAGCTGGATCCTCAGCTGATAAGGGCACTTGACTTTGGGCTGGTCCTTGTGAACAGGGCAAAGGAATTGTGCTAGCCACCTCCTTCCCCACAAACTTTAGAACCCCGTGACTTCTTCAGTGGGCTGGATCCTGAGTCCAGATCTAGTCATCCCCACTGTAGACCTGAGGTGTGCCTTGGCTCTGACTGCAGAGCTTGGCCAAGGTGGGCCGATATTGCTCCTTGCAGGTGGGCACGTCCCCTGGATGCTCCTCTCCCCCCAGAAGCCTTCTGTCACTTGCCACCCCATCCTGCTTCGAGGGGGGGGGGTGGGCAGGCTAGCTTTTGGGGAAGCAGGGAGCAGTAGCTGGCAGGTGTTGGCTGCAAGGACCTGGATGTCACTGAGAACATGGGAGCACTGCCCCAAGGTGCGTCTGTGGTTGGAATGCTGGAAAAGCCTCGGCCCCTTTCAGAGAAAGCACCCATCCGTGCTGCCCCAGAAAGGTGTGGAAGACCTCATGGAGCTGCATGCTGGGAGGGAAGACAAGGGATGCAAACATTTCAGACATTGCTTTGGAGGCTCAAGGAATGATCTGGGCCCTTAACCGTCTCTAGCATGAGCCAGAGACAAGGAGCTATGCTGGGGAATTCTTTCCAGCAAGAAAGGCTAGAAATTGGGACTGAGGCAGGGCCAAATCAGGAGGTAGGTCCAAAGAGCAGGGGATGGCTAGAGCGGGGTTCCCCACTGGTTGAGGTTTGAGGTTTGAGGTTCTTTGAGGTTCCCAGGATGGTGGCAGCTGGTCATAGAAAGCTTGCCGTAGGGGCCTGGCACATCAAAAGTGAACTGAACAGGCTAGGAAGAGAGAGGGAGCTCTCCTTTATCCCCTCCTCTCTCTTGCAAGTCCTGCCTTTCCCATGGTCCACCTTAGCACCTGGGGATGGAGGTTTTGAGATAACCTTGCCCACCACTGCCATCTTGATTCCCACATTCCCCATTTCCCAGCTGCCCCCATCCCCATCCAAAGAGTCGGTGTACCCCTGACCCTGGGAAGTATGCCAAGACTAACTGCCCCACCCATTCCCAACAGCCCCAGTAGATAACAGAACCTGCACCCCAGCACCTCACCATGAATTGCCACCACCCAAAGACCTGGGGGCCACTTGCTTGAGCCTCGGCCACTCCCAACACTTGGTGCACCAGGAGCGTTGTGAGACACGCTCGGCCATGTCGCCGCCTCAACAATTTCAAGCTGTCTTGGGAGGCTAGATTAAGAAATTGTTCCTCTGACATTTAGCCGGCAGTTCTGCACTTCTCTGGAGAGAATCAATCAATCTGCAGCATTCTTTGGATGCTTTTGGAACGAGGAGACTCGCGGCTTCATTATTTTGAGCCAGCTATAGTGCGCTTTCAGGGAACAAGTCACGTTTCTGGTTTGTTTACTGAAGCTCCTTTGGGCATCTGGCCATACAGCTGTCACTTGGGGATCCTGGCAACATTCTGGTTCATGGACAAGGGAAGTCTGCATCTTGCAACATGCAGGTGTATCTCAGTTTGTAGGACTGGTTGATGAGAACCCACAAGCCAGCCAAGCAGGGGAACATGGGAAGCTACTTTCTGCTGCGCCATTTAGTAAGGTCCACACTGACTGGCAGCAGATGTACAGAGTTTCCAGTTGGGGTGTTTCGTCCCCTACCTTGGACCAGGACACATCTGCAAAGCTTGTGCCCTGCAGCTAAGTGACGGGCCTTCTCCAGAATGTACACAAAGGACTTGCGTAATTTCAGGACTGATGTGTTGTAATCTATTGGTGTTGTTTGATTACTTGCAAAGTCATGTCCGACCCTTCACGACCCCATGGACAACATTCCTCCAGGCTCCCCTGTCCTCCACCATCCCCTGGAGTCCACCCAAGCCCACACCCACTGCCCCAGTGACCCCATCCAGCCCCCTCATCCTCTGCCGTCCCCTTCTCCTTCTGCCATCAGTCGTTCCCAGCATTAGGCTCTTCTCCAGGGAGTCCTTCCTTCTCATTAGGGGGCCAAAGTATTTCAGCTCCATCTTCAAGATCTGGCCTTCAAAAGAGCAGTCAGGGTTGATCTCCTCTAGGACTGACCGGTTTGATTGCCTTGCGGTCCGGGGACTCTCTGGAGTCTTTTGCACTTCTTTTGGTCTACACTGTCTTGTTAGCTGTGCAGTTTCAATAAACATCTGCTTTGCAAAAGATTGTCTTGAGCTTGGGAGCCTGAGGAAAAGGAGGGAAGGGGCTAGCTCTTTCCATGAGGGTTTGGGAGCAGGAACATAAAAAGCTGCTGTCAGCCAGGTCAGGGGATCTGTCCTCCTCGCCCAGGGTCGTCTTTCTGAGTGTCAGGAGCTTTGCATCAGCTTGCTTGCTCTCTGATCCTTGTTTAACTGGAAATGCTAGGGGCTGAATGTGGGAACTGTTACATGCAAAACATGTGCCTACTGCTGAGTTGAGATGCTCCATATTTGAAATATATGCACAATGAACATTTTCATAGTTCACTAGATATGTTCATTGGTGCTGGTTCTGAAGAAAACCCACTATAGTCTTGATCTTACAAGCTGAACATCCTTGGATCTTGTTTGTATCTTGATAATTTTGTATCAAGTCTGGTCAGGGGCTTTTTTGTCAGAGATGCTAGCTTGTCCGCTGACCCTGGGCTGCAACCAGTGGTAATGCATGTTGACTTATCCCAGATTGGCTTTGAATACTGCCTAGTGCAAGAAGGAAAACTCTGCCATGAGAGATTTATTAATCTCCAGGCAGAATGGTAAATTTGTGGTACAGCTTGCCATCTTGACTTTACTGAAATAAGCCTTCCCATAAAGCAGAGCCTGGAGCAAAAGCTGTAGCTGCAAGTATTGGAACACTAATTTTATTGTTTCTCCAGGTTGATGGAGCTGTCATGGGGTAAGGAAAGACTAAAACATTGGAGGCTTTTTTCCCCTTTCGCGGGAGGCAGAGGGAGTCACAGCAGAAGGAGTGTGGTTTAGTGGTTAAAGTGTTGGGCCGGGATGCAGGAGATTTGAGCTCTAAACTCTGGTCAGACATGAAACTCGCTGGGTGGCTTTACGGCAGATGCAGACTCATAGCTTCATGGGGGTAGTTTTGATAAACAAGTGGCCCAGAGGAGCTTTGGGTATTTTGACATGCCGCTGCAATTGTGGGATTCACTGGCCCAAGAGGCAGTCAAGTTGCTGGATCTGACGAGTTTAACGGCTGTCCAAAGCTTGTTTGCTTTTGATGCCTGTTGCCAGTGGTGGTGGGATTGGACAGCAAACCTGCCCATCCATGCTCTGATGGTTGGTTTCTTTGAGGCACCTGGTTGACCACTATTATTATTATTATTAGAACATGCAGATAGTCCATGGGTCTGATGCAGGAGGTTTTTCCCTTAGGCTCCTCACTCTGATAGCTAAATGGAATCAGCTGTTGGGGAGAGACAACACGGGAAAGGGTGTTGAGGATGGGGAATGTGTGGCCCCCCAGATGCCGCTGTTTATCAGCCCTGGTTGTAAGTTGATGATGGGAGATGGGAATTGCAGGTCAACAACATCTGTAAGGCAACATCTGTTCCCCATGCCTTCCTCCAACATCCAGTGTGACTTCATCTTTCTGGGTCTTTTTCATTTCTGTAGGGATGGAAGTAAGGGGTGTTCCTAACAGGTGGATGACAAGGGACGTAGTACTTGAACTCAGTATTTCCACTCAAAACATATGAACAATTTTGCACGTGGAAAACCAGGCCATTCATAGTTGACCGTGCTATGCCAAACAAAGTCATTTGCTTCTAATGGACTAGTGACAGGCTTGGTTTTATCTCTCCCCCTCCCTCCACCCCACACGTGTCTGGGGATGCTCTTCTCTGGAGAGGGGAAACATGGTCAGCTAAAAACAAAGTGTGGGAAAGGCTGGTTTCTGGTTATACGAGAAGACCTCCCACAGTGGAAGAGCTCAGATCTCCCAGAGCTGTGGGGCAGTACAGAAATCAGATTAATAAATCTGGAGAGTATTTCTGTGTTAATACACTTACTGTAGGAAGCTCACTATTCAGCCCGAGTCTCTGTGGGCATCCAAGTGCAAACAAGTGTTATTTTTTCCCCAAGGACTCAAAATGGAACGGGGGAAGAGAGCTGTGTGTTCATGAACTCAATGGGTCAGCAAAAGCAGCAGGAATCTCTCTTGGAAATGCTATTCTGTGATTAATCATACATTCAAGCCCGTCCTCCTCATAGGATGGGAATTAAAACCCACCATCAAATCTACCCCTTCCGTTACTTACGAAATCCAGCATAGATGCTCCAGGTCGCAGTGAGAGAGGCAGGAGGGGAAGACGTGAGAAATGGCAAAGCAAAAAGATTGTGCCTTTATCTGGCAAAGGGACGGAGAGCTTCACTCGCTGCTGCAATGCTTCACGACCCCTTTTAAAACACTGCTTGATTGAAGAACACATATTTGTTATGCAGTAAGTGTGAAGAATTAATGAGCCAGGCAGAGAAAAACTTGCATGCGAAGCACTGGGGGAAGAAAATGGTTTATTAATGGGTCTTTTTGTGGCTATGCGAGCTTCTGAAACAAATGAGGGTGTGCCATAAGCTGCCCCCTCAAGCTCTCCCTCCACATCCCAGGAAAGGACAGCTCCTCCTTGCCAACTTACCTCTTCCCAGGCATGGAGCAGCCAACTTCTCCTCTTCCAGCTTCCTTTTTTTCCCTCCACTGGAAAGGTTACAGTCTGAAACCTTGCATCATGCATCACAAAGTTAGCGGCTTCTGGCAGATCATAAATCAGGCCTCTGGAGTCGCTAGGACAAATCCCAGGACATTTAATCTTTAATATTAGACGTGTTTAAGACGGTGAATATTTTATGAAGGTGCTGTTGCAATTTAGCACATCATTAGCTTGTCTTATTAACCCCCTTTCCCTCCTTTGTAGGACTTTTTCCCCCTTGGTTTTTTTTTTAAAGACAGAGAAACCCTGTATCAGACAAGCAAGAATGGGGATCATCTGGATCCCTGCAAAATATATTAAGGCCTTTGGAAAACTAATTAATTACAGGGGTGCTTTTGTTTGACTGCATTGGCTACCAAGGGGAAGTAGAATCGGACCAATGGATCTTCCATCTTTCACATAGATGCCAGGTGAGGGGATGCATTTCCAAGCCCCCGAACATTTTTTCCCCAAAAAAGAAAGGACATGCTTATACCAGTGGTTGCTTTCTGTGGAGAATCTCAGTCCCAAAGCCAATGGTTAGTGTCCCACGACCACATACACGCCGCTTAAACACCCTGTTCCACCTGCCGGGAACCATATTTATTTACTCTGCACTAGTCTCCCACTCGTTTAAACCCAAAATGGTGTTTGTCTTTTCAGCTGAAGGAATATTTGATAAACACAGCCATCTGCAGTCTGTTGTCAGCCATTGGAAACGTACTTCGGCAATTGCAGCGTGTGCACTGTTAGATTGCACACGGCCTGGTTCCTTAGCATTGCTAAGTGTCCCTGTGCGCAAGAGACAGGGCGAATTTCTGTGCACCAGAGGGGGATGCAACCTCTCCTCTGCTCGAAAGATGCAGGGCTCGGAACCAGAATTTGAGGAATCACTGCTAAAGCACCTCATGCTCCCGAAACGTTAAAAAGCTCCAAGAGCCAAACGAAGACGGTGATAAAAATAAAACCTCGTCTCAGCCTGACAAATAGCAACAGTTGGAAGCAAACGGCGTTTGTGTCGTGAGCATCTGCAGCGGGGGTGGAATGTAGAGTGACCCTCCGCCATTCCCCTTCTGCATGCCAACTGCGCTTAAGACATGCCCCGGCTTGGTGCTTTGTCAACTCGAGGCGTCAGCTGAAGGGGAAAGGAGAAGAAAAAGCAACACTGGCTTTCAGCAGCTCTTGGATGAAGAGATCCCATTAATCTTTTATATTTTTGCCAGCACTTTGCTTGGGGATATGTGTCTCCGTGAAACAAGGGATCTGTCTGAGCTAGCAAAGGGCAGTCTGCCTCATCCTTCCTCGAGAGGCAAAGCAGCAACCAGAGCAAAGTGCTCCACTGCTCTCTCTCTCTCTCTTTAATTCCATAGGTGAGTGTAGCTGCCACGAGGGGTATGCCCCCGACCCTGTTCATCGGCACCTGTGTGCGCGCAATGACTGGGGACACAGTGAAGGGTGAGTGTGAAGTGCGGTAGGTGGGAAGCTGAGAAGGGTGAAGGTGGGAAAAGCAGGTCCATCGGCGGAGTGAGCTGTCAGCACCTGCACAAGGAGAGCTCTGGGGACCACGTGGCCCAGCCTCTTGCCGCCCGCCTTGGCACTTCCCAGGAGCTCACAAGCCAGGCACCGAGGTGATGGCCGATGCCCCGGAGCTGCACTCTCCTCCTGGAGGTAGCCTATTACCGCCATGATGGGAAGTTACAGATGGACCCGGGATTTGTCTAATCCCTTCCAAATCCACTAACCATCCGCCACTGCTGCATCTTCCAGAAGACAGTGAAGGAGGGGATCTGTGCTGGAGAAGAACGAGGTACCAGGCAGAGCCCCTCCCCAGGCAGAAAACCTTGCCCGCTTTTCCTCTGGAAGGGAACCTGCAGCCAGGTGGTATAGGCAGAATCACGTTGGTGCGGCACCCTTTCACTGCCAGGGTAGATGCTTTCAGGAAGTCGCCTCCTACGGATATGCCAGACTGCCACTCTGGCCAGCGTGGTCAGCTTTCGAACATCGTAGGGCAGCACTTATCAGTAGGGGGGTTCATCTGTTATAGTTCCATTGTAATGCATATAAACGCACCCCCCATCTATTAAACTTGAGTAAAAGAGCCAGTGCAGGAGGAGTGTGGGAACAGGACTCCAGCGACCTGAGCCCTAACCCCCACTCAGCCACGGGGGTCACTGGGTGACTTTGGACCAGTCGCAGACATTCGGCATGGCCTCCCTCGCGGGGTCATTGTGATGATGAGATGGGGAGGAGGGGGAGAATGATGTAGGCCACCTTAAGTTCCTTGAAGGGAAAACAAGGTGGAACATAAATATAAGTAAATAAACATTGCCAGTAGAATTATTATTATTATTATAACATTTCTATGCTGCCCCTTGCCGAAGCCTCGTGGCGGCTTACAACATAGACCAAACTAAACAACATGATATGAAAATACCTCAATACTTTTTTAATTGAGTACTTTGATACAATCCTGGTATATAAATCAACCAAGCGCTGTTGGAAGGCAAGAAATACGATTCAATAGAGATTCTAGGCCATCTATGCATTCCATCCTTATGGGACTAAAGACCAAACGAAGAATGAATGAACGAACAAACGAATGCACACAATTCGGTTAAGATGAGAACTGATAGGCTGTTAGAAATGAGTACACAGGTTTCCCACAGGATCAGGTCTTGCTGTGTTGTGTTGTGATGTGTTTTTATGCCACTGCCTCCCTTTCCTGTTTAATGTACATCTTTCTTTTTGAAATCTTTCAGACCTTGGCCATACACAACACTCGAAAGGGGCTATGATTTGGTTACCGGTGAGCAAGCACCAGAGAAAATACTTAGGTGAGTAATGCAAGCTCTCCAGATGGACTTTCTCCATCCTCTGGAAGTGGATAATTTTATTTTATCCACTTTTGGTTGTGTTTAGTTTGAACTTCTTCATTTGTTTGTTTTAATGCCAAAGGAAGACCTCTTTTTATGATTTTAAAGCTGTTCTGCTGCTGAACCTTTAAACTTGCTCTGACTTTTACTTTGCTTTGATTCTCTTTTCAGCATTTAAACTGTTTATGCTTTAGCATGCTGTATTTGCAGGTTTTATTATGATAGTGATGCAGCCAGAGAGCTTTGGAAATTGGGTGATACAGAAACCTGGTAAATAAATATACTTATTTGCACCATCAAGATTAAGCAGTTGCTATCTTGAATTTCTATCCTGCAGTAGCCCATCTTACTTGAGCAAAGTATTTCAGGATGTTCTTTTCCATTAGTGTGTAACATCATAGATTAAACACTAGGGAAATTCTCCCTGCTGCTATTCTTGTAGCAACTTTTCAGCATGCAAAGGTCTTGTGACTTTGCAAAAGGGTGCTGACCCAGTCTTGAAGCTATCAGAGATTCAGCTGATGCGGATGCCTGCAGAGCCTTCTTGATTGTGGCACCCAGATTGTGGAAATCACATTTGGAAGTCTAGTTGCTGCCACTCGTGGTAACTTTTTGACCCCTGTTAAAGGTGTTTCTGCTTCACTGAGCTTTAGGATGGCATAAAGTTTGTGCCCGCGATAGCATTACGTTTTTGTTACCTCTGCTCCTAGCCCTTCTGTTTATTTCACTTCCAATTTGTTTTATCATTTTGACAGCTAGTGAATAACTAATGATTAGACTCTCCCTTCCCATCGTTAATTACTGTATATAGCACTTATTTAGAAAGCACAGGGCCTGGCTTTGCATGTAACCATCCTCAAAGTGGCGAACAACACCAAAATTAAGGTCTAGTTTAAAATATGGAGAAGACTTGCTGAAGTCTTCTGCATACTTTCCGTGGGTAGGAAAGCAAGCACCATCATCCACTCGTCCAAATAAACAGGTGTGCCTGAAAGAGGCTTGCCGTTAAAGCAAAGCTCAGTAGACATTTGCAGCTATCAGGGAGAAACGCCTTTTGTGTTTGTCGCCATTTTCTATGAGAAGGTTATCTGTGCTTGTTGTTAAAGATGGAGGAACTCACGGCTGAGTAGCTTTGCCAGCCTCTGAGCATGGGAGCTAGAGAATCCAGCATGTGCTTTCCTGTAGGCATCATTCTTGCCTTCTGGTCTTTCTTCTCTCTCTCTTTGAAGGTCCACCTACAGCCTGGGCCAGGGCCTCTGGCTTCCTGTAAGCAAGAGCTTTGTGGTTCCACCAGTGGAGCTGTCCATCAACCCACTGGCCTCCTGCAAAACTGATGTCTTGGTGACGGAAGATCCAGCTGATATCAGGTAAGGAGGTACTTGCTGCACCCTGGAGGAGAAGCTGCAGTACTTTTGGGGGGTTATTGAACTGAGCAGGGGTCTCTCTACATGGATTGACCTGCCAGACCTTCACGTTGTTCTCTCAGTCAGCCTTGATATTGACACAGCTGCAGCTGCTCCTGTTCTGGGGAGGGAAGCATCTCGTTCTTCTTGTGCTGATTTCTGGGACTTCCATCAAGGGTGCGTGGAGACATACCTGGTTCTCTGAGTTGGAAGTGCCACTGAGGCCAATCCAAGTTGGCCCCTATCTGTGTTGTGTAGGGGGCTCACTGCTGCTCTGAGAAGGTGCAGTATAGGGATGTTTGTGTGTGTGTGTGTGTGTGTGAAGCCGGTGTCATGTAATGGGGAGAGAGTTGGACTGTGAACCCAAGAGGTTCACATTCTAGTCCCCACTTGGTCATGAAGCTCCTGGGTGACTTTCAGCTCATCACAGGGGCTCAGTCTAACCTTCCTTACAGGGCTGTAGTTGTGAGGATAAAATGGAGCACCCATTCACCTTGGATTCCTCACAAGAATTAAAAAGGTGGGATATACATGCACAATAACAGCAATGGCCTGAAGAGTCAACCATACTATGCAAATGCAGCTTCTCCTGAAAATAGGAAGTATGTGCTTCCCCTAAATTTATATATGCAGGTATTACCTATTGATTTATTAGATTTATATTCTGCTTCCCCCCCATGAACTCAAAGTGGTTTCTATAATTCTCATGTTCCTGCTCTCAGTCTTATCCCTGAAACAACAACCTATGCTCTTAACCACTACCTCCCTCCCTCCCTCCCTCCCTCCCTCTGTGTGTGTGTGTGTGTGTGTGTGTGTGTGTGTGTGTTGTGTATGCCACTCATGCATACCCAGTTTACATAAATTTGCAGTCCCCAATAGCAATTTGCCTGGAATTTAAAGGTTTGCTATCCACCCTTGCAACATGTTTGATTTTTTAAAAAAATCGGTTTATTTCCAAAATCCTCCATAAAACCAAATTTCAGCAAAAAACTGCAGGGAATAACAAGAGTAGAACTACAAAGAGTGGAACTACAGAGCTGTATGCAGGAAAAAGGGGGGAAACAAAACCAAATCACAAAAACATATAGCCACACAATGGCCGGAGATTCGTCGAACGGGTCCTGGAAGGATTACTCATAAAATTATTCCATGCTCACACATATGCGCACAAATATTCAAAATTGCTGATCCACATTCCTAATAGGAAGGTTGACCAAATGTAGAAATGAGTGTCAAGACGAAGGTGTCGTTGGTAGCATATTCTCCCAATGGGCAAATGTTGTGCATTCCCCAGCACCTGGATTCAGTTGTTCAGTTGTTGCGTCGTCCTGCAAAACCAGTCAGTATCCATTCCAGAGAAGGCTATCCAATGGCTTTCTGCAAGGGGACCATCAGTGTTTGCCCCTTCCTCACTGCCAAACAATTTGGGTGTGGGGGTGGCTAACCAGGTGTCCTGCCTCTCAGGGCAACTTGTGTTGCATCCAAAAGAAGCTGGCACGGGAATGAAAGGCATCGTTTGAAGTGTATGATTGTTTCTTGCTTGCTGCAGCCCACCTGGCTAAGCTGGGATTGTCTGGCCGACCGCTTGCATTTAGCAGTGGTGAGAAATACTTCACAACGCATCAAGAGATGCTGAGATGACGTTTCCTTCCTGTGCAGAAAGTGTCCATACCAGGAAATGTGAAGTCTCTGTGCTCTCTCGGGGAAGCATCACAATCAAGGGGACTGTGAGTTTAATATCCTAAACCCATGAGCACGGAACCTGCCCCCGCCCCTGTGACATACCGCGGACACTAAATTATTCAAAATTTAATAAACGTGGTGATGAATATTTGATGTTGAATTATGGATGTCTCCACAAATGAGCTGGAAACCAAAGCACAATCCATTACATCTGCATTAGAGTGCAAGATCTCTTCCCACAGTGTTGACCTGTTGAATCAGAGTCTGCGGCACATGACAGGTGGAATTGGTACAACCTTCAATGCTGCCTTCATACTGTAGTGTGGAGAGATGATCTTTCCAGCCACAGCTTCATGACTGCATTTAAGCCGCTGTGGAAATTCTGTACCAGATCTTGGTATTTTCCTCATCTAACAGGAAACAGGCAATGGGCAACGGGCTTCCTTTCCCCTTCTTCCTGCTCAACCTTTCTTCATCACATTCCTTACACTAGAAACATAGAAACAGAGCAAGTCAGAAGGGGTCTCCTGGGCCATCTAGTCTGACCCTTGGCTCCAGGCAGCTCTGCTCACAACATGCCCACCATGTGCACGTCCAGCCTGTCCTTGAACACCCGCACCAATGGGACCTCAACGACCTCTCATGGAAGCCCATTCCACACCCTCGGGGTCCCGACTGTCAGGAAGTGCTTCCTGGCATCCAAATTGAACCTTGGTTCCCTGAGCTTTGCTCCGTTGGAGCGCGTCCTGCCTTTCTCTGCAGGGGAGAACAGATCTCTACCCATCTCCGTGTGACATACCTGCATATCACCAACACTAATGGTGCTTGATGTTAGAGCATTTGAACCCTGGGCCTCAGCTGAAAAAGGGCTCCCAGAATGACTTAGAAAGGTCAGGAATGGCACTATCCCTATTCAGAAGGGTTATACTCTAAATGATATGGTACAAGAGGAGAAGGCATTGGAATGGAGAAGGAAAAACACAACCTCAGGCAATCATGAATTCATTTAAAGCTTTTATAAACCGTTCAATTAGCAACAGCTCTTGGAATGGTGCACAGGAATTAAAACAGTCTAAAAGCAAACTAAAGCAAATATACATAGATTATCAATACAGTCATAATCTTCACTGAGGCATGCAACAATGACAATAATACATAATGCAAATATAAAACCAATCACAGGATGCCAGTGACCATATCAATAAAATCAATATGAAATCCAATAACATTCACAATTAAAATGCCAGGAAGTTCTGGCATTAGTTCTTAACTATTCCTTGTTTGAACAAGGGCTGTGGAAACTTGAAAATTATTGTCTGTGGCTTACAAGGGAAGGTAAAACTGCTTGGAAATGCTTAGCTTTATTTTCTTTTTCCCTTTTAAATACTAAGACTAAAAATTCACAAACAATGCCAATCAATGATACATTGCTGTAAAGTATAAAGTCATTACATACAAAGATAAATTATAAGTAATACATAAAATCAATCAATAAATAAAAGTAAGAAAAATGACGCTGCATTCAGATATTATGATGGGGGCAAAAACATCCACTTTGAAATAAAGATTACAAAATATTAAGGGTGGCAAAGGAATAACATTTAAAGACTGAAATGTTGAGGGTAGCAAAAGGTAAAGTACTTTTTGAAAAGTAGAATACAAATGGTGGTAAAAGATAAAGGATTAAAAAAAAAAACAGTACAGGTGTCCAGTGGTGTTCAAAGATAGACTGGACGTGCACATGGTGGGCATGTCGTGAGCGGAGCCAGCTGGTGCCGGAGGTCAGACTAGATGGCCCGGGAAGCCCCTTCTGACTCGCTCTGTTTCTGTGTTTCTATGGTAAAGCTTCAGAAAATTGTGAGACAGATGTTATTATTTTCTTTCCTCATCACCTTCCTTGTGATATTTGAATGTGGGGCCATCTGAAGAAATTAATTGGCAGTAGGCTCAAAGCGGACAAAAGACAGGCTCTCACGCAGTGGAAGAAGCATTTATGGAATTCAGAGCCGCAGTAAACGCTTCTGGAGCCGGACACATTCACAGAGGAGGAGAGGGGAGAGGGCAGCGGGGGCTAGTGGGTTTCCACATGTAGCGAAGGCACGCTCATTGAGAGCCGTGGCTGGGGAACCGTGAGATTCAACCGTTCCCGTCGTCTCCTGCCCAGAGGCATCTGCTTAGCCCCCGTGGGCCCTGGAGGGCTGGACTGGGCCAGTCCTGGGCCTGCTAGTACATCCTTTCCTTTAAATCCAGCGTGAGCATTAAACCTCAGATTTGCATCACGCCGCGTTATTTTCCGGACTTGTTTATCCCTTCGCCGGGTTGAACGGTCCCTTCTGCCTTGCCGTGGCATGTCGCGTTCGCAGTCGGGCTGTCGGGGCATCCGTGTTTGTGCCTCTCCCGTGCAGCAGCAGCTTTTTACACTGATGTTTTTTTGGCCAAGCCGTGAGCATCTGCTCGCTGTATTCCTCCAGGCCTCCTATTAGCCTGGCACCTTTGCTTGGGGGTCACTCGTCTCTAAGAGTTTAATGGAGGAAAATTGCCAGGCGCCTGCTCTGCACGAGGCCTTAAGAAGTTCATTTTAGCTCCCGGGGTTAATGTCTTAGCACAGCATAATGAAGATGTCTTGAGGACAGTATAAATGCAGGGTAGGAGCAACTTTCAGTAGCACTTCAGCCAAGGATTCTGGCTTCTAGCACTGGAGGCTTTTGTGGACTAATTATTCCCTGTGTCTGATGGGTTGTGGGTTTCTTTGGATTGTCAGAAGAGGACTGGTTAATTATAATTCATTTGCAGAGATACAAATAATTTGAAGCAAGAGAGGCAAAGGGCAGTGGAGCAGAGGTGGTGGAGCTTGGGGCCTAGAGGAGAGGAGGTAGTTCCCCTGGGAAGTGATGCAAAAGGCCTTTTGTTTTTTCTTCAGTTGTTGGTTTTTAGAGGAGTGTCTTTCAGTCCCAGCCTCATCAGATACAGGGGGAAGGAATTTACAGGCTGGATGATCATGATCATGGAGAAGAAAGCCCAAGGGAAGCCAAATGCTGGTAAAACCTCGGAGTCCATGCCGATATTGACAGCAAGGAAGGGTGTGCGGAGGGTTGGAGACAAGCTATGCAGGTTGGAGGATGTGTGACTTCAGAACACCAACCCTGCCAAAGCAAATGTTTAAAAATCAGGAAGTTTACCGGGAAATACATTTATTTAAAGAATTTTAACTCGGTCTCATCTTAAGTGGTGTGCAAGCTCTTTGCCTCTTTGACATGTGGAAAAAAGCAGCAGCAGCAGCT